TTTTCTGCAAAAAGTCCATAAGGGAATTTGAGGTATATTTCCTGAGGTGGAAAGAAGTATGAATTATCTGCCTTTTCAGGGTTTCATCTGCGTTTGGGGATGAGGGATTCAAAGGGAGTTGCGTCTGATTCAGTGACTCAACTCTGCACTCATCCTTGGGAGATACAGTTTGGAAGAAGCCACAGACAGAACAGGGAATTGATCTAAATATGTTGCCTATTGAAGCATCCAACTCCAGAGATGCAATGGCTGAACCAGAAGATGGCAACTTGAGGAGTTGGGGGCCATTTTTAACATCTTGAGGAAGGATGAGGGCAGTGGTGAGTGGGAAGGTAATGCCAAGTGGGTGTGGACACTGATGGTTCCAGCATTTGGGGTTTTCCAGGTCTTCTTTTTTTAAGAAGTAGATTAAGCCTCTTTGGAGGAGTTTTTCCTGACTCAAAATGGGGAAAAATCGCGCCAATTATTTTCATCAGTGGTGGCTGGAAAGGGATCTGGGAGCCACCAAAAAGGATTTGATGGATAACCAGTTTGCCTACCTCTTGGTTAGAAGAGATCCAGGTTCAAATTCCCACACTACTCTGAACTTCATCAGCTTATCTCCAATGGTTGCTGTGAAGATAAAAAGTAAGTTTGGGAGAGGGGAATTTGTACTTCCCCCCAATATGTATTTATTTACAGTAGCTTTAACCAGCCTTTGAGTCAAGCACTGTATCTGAAAGCAGAAAGGAGAGGTCGTGTCCTCAGGCTTTCCGATAAAAAGGCAGGGTGCTTAAGGAAAGTAGGGGAGCCAAGAGGACAAACAGCGGCATGGGATGAGAGGCATATTTGCATATCCCATTTAGGGGAGCTGTTTCCCCTTCTGGCTCTTGTTCCTTAGCAGGTGGGCAAGACTTCTCTTCTTCTTTTGGCTTCTTCTTACAGTCGTAGAGGGGTAGAAAGAGTCAAGAATGCTTGTGTCTGGCAGCAGCTCTTGAATGGGGTCAAGCTGGTCTCCCCTTACCTTGATGATATTCCCCCAAAACAGGGGGAGTAGGCTTCTGATGGCTGCAGATGTATTCACCCCAGACCCAAACCAACATCTACTTTTCATCCCAGGGCAACATGCAATTAAGTCAGTGTTGTCCAAACTTGGCCCCTTTAAAATGAGTGGACTTCAACTCCCAGAATTCCCTAGCCAGCATGGCTGGCTGGGGAATTCTGGGAGTTGAAGTCCACTCATCTTAAAGGGGCCAAGTTTGGACAACACTGAATTAAGTGAACAAATGTTGTTTACACAAATGTGTTTTATTTTGATTCATTTACTTTATGCTTTATAAACACAAACCTGTTTCTGAAGGCAACCGGATTTTTGAAAATGATGGCAATGCAAAAAAAAAAAAATTGTTTTGCTTACACAAAGGAAAGCAGTCACACAATGGTCCGGCTTATACACTCTGCACTAAGCCATGATGTCATTGGTCTCGGTTTGGTTTAAATGTTGGGTGAGCCTGGCCAATTGCAGTTTATTCAGTAAACCATGATTTTAAAAAACCACAGCTTGATGCAGTGACTTAATCCAGTCAATAACTCATTGGTATGAAAAAGCCTGTGCTTGGGACTCAGAATGAAAATGTGCCGTTTAGTAAGATTGCCCTCTTTTCAACCAATCTCTGTAGCTCTGCTTCTAACAGCAGCCTTTATTTCAGTGTATATTTATTTAATCTCCTGTCACTGAAGGTTGGCGGGTGATCATGTTTCTCTTCCTAGTAGGATAAGATTTAGTTGCTGAGATTTGCACATTAAGCCACAGTTGCAGCCACTGGAAGGGGCACATCTGGTTGTTACATTTCCCATCAGCTGATTACTCTGCTTGAATGCATATAAAGCCCATAGCATTATATATTCTAGCTGAATTTCACATCCAAGAAATTGTAGGAGGAGACAGCACCAGGTCAAGTCCAACTGTTTGGACAAATTATTCCAATGAATTTGGAAGAAGAGCTGCCCCACCACTGTTTGAAACCAAAGCGGATGAAAACCCTTAGCTACAACTGGGGTAGAGTAGTAGATTTTCTGCAATGGCTGAGGGATGGATGGAGCGACCTTTCAGATCCTGCTCAACAGTGGAGCTGGGTTTGCATTTCACATTAAGCTAAAACAAGTTTGATGTGGTTTCAGCTGAATATGTTGTATGGCCTCAGCCAACTGGGGTTTATGGCACAGCCTGATCTGTGAATCCAGCCAATAGTGATTTAATGCAATAAACCATAAATCACCCAGCCATGAATGGGTGAACCAGTCAACAATGCTATGATTCCATCTACAGTTGGCTGATATTAAAAAAACAAGCTGGTCAGGGCCTGATTTAATTTAGTAGTTGGATGGAAGAAATCTCAGCGTGGTAAATTAGATTGGGAAGTTGGAAAAAGACCTTAGAAAAAGACCATGGAAAGCCACTTTCATCTTACTGGTGAGAAAACTTCATGGGCTTCTCCATGAAGATTAATTTGAGGGAGGAAAGATCTAATTACTATGCTTAAATGATTCCGGTGATGAATGTAAAGCTATCAAAGGGTAATTAATACCTATTAGATAGTTATAAGTATGGAGCCTCCCTCTTTCTGATTCATGCATTCTCTAATTGGCCTTAAACAAGTTCTTGCATCTCTCCATCTAAGGTCCATCTAATATCCCTCACAAGCTTGTTGTGTGTTGGCTTCTGACCTTTTCTTGAGGGGTTGGTTGGGTGGGTGGGAAGAAAAATAGGAGACAGCTTTGCTGAACAGCTGAATCTTGAGATACATCAAAAGATCTTCCAATGTGATGGAATGTATCTATGAGGAGAAGAGCAATGTGGGAGATCAAGGCTATCAGGAGGGAGGGGGTGCATTCCAGAAGGGGAACAGAGAGAAGAGACAATGCAATCCTCAAGGGGAGTGTGGGAAGCAAAAGAGTTCAGGGTAACCACTCCCTAGAATCTCCTGGGTATATCCACTAGTTGCTGTAGTATAGATTTAGTTTAGCAAGATTCTGTCTATGAGGTGTAAGCAGTAAAGGAACTATACTTGATTAGACTGTTTCACGTTGTTCTTGGGCTGGGCCTGACATCCTGTGCCCTGTGGCTTTCCTCACCCTATTGGGTGGTTGTCCAGCCATATTAATCGCATCGTACCAGCAGTTGCTTCTTGGTGTGCTAACAGCTGCCATAGCACCAAGTTCAGGAAGCCCAGATGTACCTGCCAAGGAAGCCATCGCTGCCTTGGTATTGTTTATGACAGCGTGTAGGAGGAGACAGCACCAGGTCAGGTCCAACTGGCAGGGCAGGTTTCTTTTAAGCAAAATTGATGCCTGATTTTTCTGATGTCACTTGGGCATTTGTTCTGATTGAGAAGGATGGGAGCATCCCTCCAGGGAACCTTGGTTGATTATAGGGGGTAGAAGGCAGAAGCTTCTCCGATGCTGGGTGTGCGTTCAACCCACATCCTGTCTTTGATCCTCAGTGATGCTGATGCCAAAAGATCTCTCTCTCTCTCCGTCCCTCTCTCTTAACACCTTAACACTAGGAGACAGGGTCACTCAATGAAACTGGTTGATGCTTGGGTCCGAAACAGGAAAAAGTAAGTACTTCTTCATGTTACATCTAACCAGCATGTGGAATTTGTTACTTCAGGTGGCTCTAAGGAAAGAGAATGAAGCAAAAAATGTGGTTGTTAAGTGACTCCAGTTGACTCCCATTTTCAGAGCAAAGTCTCTTATAGGACAAGGTGGTAGGGCAAACGAGGAACAAGTGGCGTTGTTGTTATTATTATTAATATTCTAATGCTATTGAGCACCCAATCAAGGCAACTCTTTCTCCTTGTTTCATTATGCTTTCCAGAACTATCTGCTCTAACAGCACAAGACCCAGGAGACAAGGCATAACTAGCGCATTATGTGATTTAGTGATCATAATGTTGGATCAAGATCGGGGACCCAGTTCAAATGTCTACCCAGTGATGAAACTCGTTGAATGACTTTGGGCTAATTGTTATTTCTCAGCCTAACCTATCTCATAAGGTTGTTGCGAGGATAAAACAGGGAAGAGGGAATTCCTGCCCTTGGTTCTTTTTAGGAAAGGAAGGAAGTAAAGTTAATAAAACAAAAAAACAAATATGGATTAATCGGTTGATGTTGCTTTCTTCTGCATTTAAAAAAAATCAAGTATTTTCAATCTTACCTTGTAATTAAATGTACATAGAAACAGTATTTTTGATCTTGTTTACAAATAAACTTGTGAATTCTTTGAAGCGCTTATCTTAAAAAACAAACTTAGCAAGATTCTCACTAATCTGCAGTGGCCAAATGCAATAGATATATGTATTCCTAGTACAGAGAGGAGTGGGTTGTACCTAACAGTGTCATAATATTACCAGACGCCTCTCAAAAAAAGAAGCTGGGGTTTCTGCCCCACTTTGGAAATAAGTTGCCAATTCTGTAATTTGTTAAAACAACCACCACCACCACCCTTATGTGAACAAAATTCTCACTCAGTCCTAGATGAGATTTTAATTTGTTCCAGTAGGGAGTTTCTGCTATTTTGATGAAGCTTGAGAATTATACGCAGCATCTAAGCCTGGTGAGAAGCTGTGTGGGAGCCCCACCGAATGTCAGTGAGTGAGTGTGTGTGTGAAATTTAAGTGCTCAAACAAATTCTTATTGCCTCAAGACAGAGCAAATAAAAAAAGAGGGGAGCTAATGAAAGAGAAGAGGTGCTCTGCTGTGGCATATCAGCTTTCATCTTCCAGATGTAGCAGATTACAACTCCCATCATCTCTGGCTGTTGCAGCTGTAACTGAACATATTTGAAATATATATATATATTTTTAAAGTAACGAATAGAATGTGAACCAAGAAGATCTGAGTTCCAGTTTTCTGTCTGGCATTCCATGCTGCTTCTTTTTCTCCTTCTCATGTCAAACGTTCATAAATCTGTTCTAATTTTCAGAGGACACAACTAATTCTCCTGGCCACGAGGAAGAATCCTTTGAATTCAGTTTTGCAGCCAAGTTTCACAATTATTTTCAACCCCTTCCTGTTATCTGCTGGGCCCCAGGATGTTCAAAGAATATTTCCAGTATAAAGGGATCAGTTTTCCTCAAATCATCTATGCAAAACCTGTGTTGCAGATGGTAGAGCAGGATTTCCAAGTTCGAGATGACGATATTTTCAATGTCACTTATCAGAAATCAGGTAGAGTTTTTTGGTTACAGCTTCTGCTTGTGGGAAGGGAAAATGCTTTAGATTAGCAGGTGAAAGCAAGTTGATAATGATGATTTTGGCAGGAAAAGAAGAGCTGGTGTCCCATTCAGTTTCCATATGGGGCATAGCTCTTAATAATAGCATAAGTAAATTTTACAAAATGCTGCTTTTGGAAAAATGAGAAACAACAAAAACAAGAGCAGGCTGCACGAGCTGTTCATGTGCGACATTTAAAAGCAGCCAAACTTTTAAATTTGTTTTAACATTTTACTGTAGTTTGTAAACTACTTTAACTTTTACCTTTGAACTTCTTAATAAAGCACAGGATAGGGCAGTGTTTTTCAGCCTTGGGAACTTTAAGATGTGTGGACTTCAACCTCCATCAATCCCCCCCCCGCCCAGATTGGTAAGGGGATCTGTGTGGTTGAGGTCAAACC